CACATTGGATGAAGCTCCAGGCAAAGAGACTGAAGGGCCATTTATTGCTAGTTCTTACCTTCCCTGTCAACTTGGAGGACCGTTTCAGCTTCAGGGAAGAGATGCTCTTGGAAATCTTGTTATCCTTTTTGCTTTCTCTCTACAACAAATATTGCCAATATAGGAAATTATGCACAGCAAGAACTATTCATGGAGAAAGGAAAGATAGACAAATGGAGATGTTTTTGTTTTGCCCTCTCTGGCCAGAAGGAGCTGTGTTGTCCTCCTGGGACTGACCCTGCATCCTTTTGCAATTCTGCTATTTCAAGTACAGCAGCATGCAAAGGTTCCTCAGCTTTTCTGTCTCAGTAGAACAGCATAGAAACCGGGGAAAGTATATGAAAATACAAGCATAGCTTGATCATCTCACCATATCTGGGCTGTCATTCTTGAACTGGACTTGATTTTTCCTGCCAAGTGTGTCATATATCTGTGTCATCACAGAACTGCTCTTGGTGGCGTTCTTGGCAAACATTGTTGGCTCTGGTAGGTCCCCCATGAACCTCAGGATGATAACCCACACAACTAGAGAAGCCTGCAGAGACAGGAGGCACAGTCAGACCCTGCCAAGTGCACAAAATGCCTCACACTATTTCTTCCTTCTTTTACCCAGTTCAGGCCGTTAATCCCTGTATCCTCCTGCCGTTCACACCTGAAGTTTACTTTCTTGTCCAACCATGTGAGCAACATTCACAACACTCTCAGCAAGAGGGTGCAGCTCTAGTGAGAATATCAGATATGCTCTGTGGTTGCTCAGCTCTCAGCACTCCTCTTTACTGGCACTTCATAGGTGTGCTGTGGCTGGAGTGAAAAAGAGAAATTGTCGCTGAACAGCACTCTGCCTTTACCCACCTGGACAGAGAAGCAGTGCTGCAAGCTCTTCCAGGAGCCCTGACACCCAGAAATAGTAAGCAAAGCTTTTTGCAGCATTCTACAAGGCTGCTTAGCATCAAAAAAACCTCCCCTTCTTCACCCTTCTGTGATTCAACAGGAAAATCTGGAGGCCCAGGTTGCCTGTCCACTCCTAGCTCACAGAGCAGCAACCCTCACAAGAGCAGAGAGTTAGGCAAGCTCTGATGCTTCCTCTGTCCACTTTTGGCCCCAGAGGGCATCTGAAGAAGTCACAGTAAGCCTCAGAGTGCTCAGACTAAAGGCGACCAAAGATCTTGTGCTAGGCAAGCATCTATGTGCAAAGGGAGGCATCTGCTTGCAAAGCACCACAAAATGCTGATGTGAACAACTACTTTCATACAAGTGATTAGGAGTATCTGCTTGGCTCTAAAGTCTCTGGCTCCTAGGACTGTGCCTGAGGTGAGTGGAGCAGGTTGATCAACAAGGAGCAAGATACCAGGACGTTGTCCTTGTCGTCATGGTAGAGTAATGGGTGCCGCAGTGGTTTCCGGATGTGCGTATGCGTAGATGACCCCTGGAAATAAGTAGCTGCAAACTTTGGGAAGGTGTAGTCTTCCAAGCCATCTGCTTCCTCTTCTAGCTCCACGCTCATAGGAATCATGTCCAGGTCTACTTCTTCCAGCTTGCTGGGCTTTGTTTCCAAATCCTGTACAGAACATGAGGAAGAAAAGGACTTGGGGGTTCTGGTGGACAAAAACCTGGGCATGAGCCAGCAGTGTGCACCTGCAGCCTGGAAGGTCAACCGTACCCTGGGCTGCACCAACAGAGGGGTGGCAGCAGGGAGAGGGAGGGGTTGTCTCCTCTGCACTGCCCTCATGAGGCCCCATCTGGAGTACTGTGATCAGCCCCAGTGCAGGAGGGATGCAGAGCTGTTGAAGCAGGTCCAAAGGAGGGCCACAAAGATCATCAAATGGCTGAAGCTTCAAATCAATCAAATGGCTTCAAGCTACGGCAGGGGAGATTCAGGCTGGACATGAGGAAGTATTACTTTTCAGAAAGGGTGGTCAGGCACTGGAATGGATGCCCAGGGAGGTGGTGGAATCACCGACCCTGGGGGTGTTCAAGGAAAGGCTGGATGTTGTGTTGAGGGACGTGGTTTAGTGGGAGCTACTGGGAATAGGTGAACGGTTGGACTGGATGATCTTTTAGGTCTTTTCCAACCTTGGTGATTCTATGATTCTATGATTCTAAGCACCTCTCCTATGAAGACAGGATGAGAGAGCTCAGCCTGTTCAGCTTGGAGAAGGCTCTGGGGAGACCTCATTGCAGCCTTACAGTACTTAAAGGGGAACTTATAAATGGGAGGAAGATTGACTTTCTCCATGGACAGAAAGTGACAGGACAAGGCGAATGATTTCATCTCAGAGGATGGTGAGGCCCTAGCACAGGCTGCCAGAGAAACTGTGGATGTCTCTTTCCCTGAGGTGCTCATGGCCAGGCTGGATGGGGCTTTGGGCAGCCAGTTTGGATGGGGCCCTCAGCCTCACGGCAGGGGGTTGAAACTAGATGATCTTCAACGTCCTTTCTAGCCTAAGCCATTCTGTTATTCTATGGTAAGAAGTATCTTTTTCTCTCTTATCTGATATTTTATGTACTTTCCAGCTAACACTAAAGCCATTTTTCAGCCACCACCAACAGACTATTGGGACTCAGTCTGTTCTCCTGCCTTGGTCTTCAGCTGACCAAGAACACTGCTGGTTGCAAAATGCAGGTTCTGTCTTATTGCTCACATCCTGCACCAACCCAGACCATTCTATTCTATTCTACCCACTCTCCCTACTCCATCTGTCCAAATGGACATCAGTAGATAGTAGATGTCCAGCCAGTTCTTCAGTTGTCAGTCAAATGTTGCTTTTCAGAACATGAGGTAACTTAGGTCATGAACTTCCAGCTTGTGCCAGCTGGAAAATCAGTGAGAGCACAAGAAGCAGATCATGTAGCTGGTGCCAAAATGAACAGAATGGCATTATTTGGTGGGGGTCTACTGGAATAAGGAAATAAGTGTGACGACGCACAGTCCCTCAATGGCCAAAAACTTTGGGAACTGACCTCTGAAAGCAGGTTCCCCAAGAGACTGTACAGTTCAGTAAATAGAATTGACCACTGATGGAATTCTGACAGATTTGTTAGATTTACATGAACATGACCACTGTACCTCAAAGCCCAGAGGAGCCTGTCCTTCTTGGCCTCCAATCATAGAAGGTAAAAACCCAAAAATTTTGTCCACCATCTCCTGGTCACTGATAACATCATAATTTGTGTGTCTGTCGACAAAATCATCATTCATCCTTTGTCCTTCTTCCTCCTCCTTTTCTTCCAGAGTAGCCAGGTGTTCCTTTAAACATAGAAATTCATAAAGCATAATTGGAACATCATTCTGCTAAAATAAATGGGTGTGAGGATAAAACACAATTACAAAGTGCTCCAACAGCTGTCTTTGTAGACTGTTGATCTATTAATAATAATGTTCTATATTCAAGAACTGCATCACTTAGCAATTATACAGGAAAAGCATATTATGTTCACTGTTCTTTAGCTGACACACCTACCTTTTCTAACCTCACAGCTTCTTCCCTTGCTTTCACTGGGCCAAGGATGCTAATGAGACGTTCCTCCTCTTCCAAGCAGATATTCCTTGCTTCCAGCTTGACCTTGTTCTGCAGGAACAAAACCATTCTGTTACTGTTTTCAAAACTGCTGAGCAAGTTACACCACTAGAAAGCTGTCCACACCAGGGTTTTATCCCAACAGGGACTATTCCATTTAGGGAAGGAGCCGCGGGCAGAGACCTGCTAACTGGCTTTGCCTTGTTTGTACAAGATATAATACAGAAAGAAAACCACAGCCAAGAGTTTCCATGTCAATAGATAGCCAAGGTAGTAAGCACAGGACTTTATCTGGTAGTGCATACCAACATACACTACATCAGGATTCCCTGAGTGTCATTATCAGGCCTTGCTGTAGAAATTAATCTTCCTTTGCAGGAATGATTTTTATCCTTTTATTCTCCCTTCTGTCAAAAACATTTCTGCTCTGTCACTGAGGTTCCGATCCATGGAAATGAACATAGGAAGAACGTGTAAATAAGATCATACCTGCTTTTGTACCTCAAAATAAAACGTTCCAAAATAAATATCCACATCTGGTGCTATGCTATGGCAACACTTAGTGGTCATCATGCCTCAGAACCTCATAGAAACAATGTCATGTTGACAAAATATCTGGACACGTACGTATACCCCCCTCTTCATCCCCTGTGAAGTTTGGCAAGCAAACATGCCCCTTGTATATGCCTGTATATAACACAAACAGCTTCCATCTGTGCTGCTACCTTTTGACGTATTAGATAGCCACGGCATGCAGCCTGAAACCTGATGATGTGTGCCCGGGCTGTTTCATACTGCTTAGCAAGCTGCCGGCTCCGGTAGAGGGCCTGCAGGCGCCCAAAGCCCAGCATAATCTGTAGGAGGTGGAGAAAAAAAGAAGTGATCATGATTCAATCAAGTGAGTCTGGGGTTCAGTGAGATGAGTAGAAGACGACAAAGTTCTGCAGCTGGATAAAGACATTGGGAGAGGTTAAGGGAATACTGCCAGCCAAGGGAATACTTTGATTTCTGTCAGTTCAGCTTTTAAAATCATGTGAGAGAGTGTGCATTGAGGACCCATTCTAGGGATTAGCCTGAGCTGATGACAAGGGGAAAAAGAGAGCAGAAACTAAACCAAGTGGATGGGAAAAAAACAAACAGCCTTAGGAAAGGTGGAGTCAGAAATAGATCCTATCTTCAGACAGGGACTGGGTCACTGACGCAAAATAGAAAACATTCCTGACTGAAACTGGCAATTTCTCCTCTTGCTCTTTATGAATGGGAGGTTCTATATGTTAATAATTTCTCTCACAGAAACACACAATATGTGAGCACCACCAATACGTCCCAGCTTTTTTCACCCACAAAAATGTCAGTCTAAACAAATTCAGCCATTATTAAAAATAAAAAAATAACTGAAAGAGAGAGATTGATATGCTGTTATTTTCTGCTACAGATTCCCAGTTTTGCTCTAACAGTTGTGGAAGACCCTTTGATCACAGCTTGTCAGTGAAGCACAAATGCTAGCCTTGGAACAGAAGTGTGGCAGCACTGGGGTGCCAGGATGCTGGAGCCAGGCCTGCCAGAGGTTAGTTGTGTTACTATTTCACCAGTAAGCAGAAACATCACAGGCTCAGGAAGCCATGAGATGCTCCAGAGTCCTCCTTGGACCCAACAATTCATTTCCTTATACCCTGCCATTTTGCTTCTCTCCTCTTAATTTGTGAACATTTTAATTCTCTCTACTCCCCTCAGCCTGGCAAGGCATGATATAAATACACACACACTGTATTGTAATTGTTGGGTCCCAGCCTGACTCACTGATTGAACACCTGGGGAAAGGACCTGGTCATTCCTAGGAGCACAGGTGAAGGCAATTCAGCTGTGTGACTGGATGGGGTGGAACCTGGCTGCACCTCTCTTAGGCCCCATTTAAGGGCTGACTGCCACTAGGGAAGGCTCTCTGGTTGGAGATCTTTCCCTTCTGGAGTTTTCCTTGTGAGTCTCAATCTTCAGAGGTGGGTGGGCACTTTGCTTTGCTTTGCAGAACACCTTTCCATTGCACTAGTCCCTCTGTCATTCTATCTCCTGTATCAACAATCTACCTTGCTGATCTCTCTGGTTGTTACACACACACACACACACACACACACACACACACGCTTCTTACCATCCTGAAATCCTTCCGGCAGCAGTAGCCTCGCCAAGCTGCTTGGATAGATATGGCAGACTTTCTCTGTTTCAGAAACTGCTTCCTATTGCAAACAGATGAGGTAAGAAGCAATAGGTTATCTCTGCTGCTTCATATGGTAAGAATAAAGAGTAAGGCTGGTGGGTTTTCTCTGTTTCTGGGATTTCTACACTCTGATCTCAGCCATTGCTGCTGAGTAGGAATACTGGAGTCAGGAGAACTAAAGCTACACTAACTAGCCCTGTTATTGGTAGACATTTTGCTAGAGCAAGTCTGAAGCTCAGCAAGGGCTGTACCTCCTGCTTCTGAGTAATGCAGGAAAGGTATTACACTGCAGCACAAAGTCTGTTCAGTTACCATATGCAATGAGATTATCCTCACTGAAAGCATTTTGTCATCTTATGCCTTCTCCAGGCTGATGGAGCTGTGAGAAGAGGCTGTTTTGCTGGACCTTTATATAACACAGCCCCTGGGGAATTCCATGTGAGCTCAGCTCGTTCTGGAGGTGAAGCAGCACCACGAATCGGCTGAGCTCTCAAAGTGAGAGCTTTCACATTTGTTTTGTTGTCAATTTGCAAGTAGAAAGGATGAGATAAAAGTATCAGTAATCTGACTTTGACCTTAAGCAACTGTTCAGCAACTGCTTCTCCACTGTTAAGAACATGTTTAAATCGAACCAGCAGTTAGTCTTATATTATGGTTCTGATTGGGTGGCACAAAAACTAATAATATTAATATGAATATTCTAATATTAATAAATACAGATCATGACATAAAGCATTTATTGAGGACAACTATTTTTTTTGTCAGTAACTAAGTGTCCATTTTGAGAATATTTCAAGCCAAACAAGAGTTGTGCATCTTTGTCAAGGTGGAGGACTAGGTAGTTTCCTCTTACTTTAGTTTTCTCTTTCCTATTTTTTTTCTATGTCTTATATTAAAGAAGTATCCTACAAAAGAAGGTTCTTGTAGCTCAGGAAAGAACAGATTGTACACAAACTTCCTGTTTTCCAGATACCTCATAAGGTATCTATGCTGTTTGCTACGAATATTAAGTGCAAATCTTCCTTCCAACCCTTCCTCTCAGCTGCACATGCAGCAATCCTGCATTTTGAAAAGCATAATTATAATAAACTGGGACAGAATCTTTGTGCAAAACTTGCATCGATGCACTGTTACATGATGAGCATAGAATCCAGGGCCAGTGGAAGGTAGGACTGATACAACCAGAAACGTTTCAGTGAGGATGTTAAAGAACAGTACAAATGTTAGTGCTTCAAACCTAATCAAATTCCCTTCTTTAACATCACTGACCTGTCCTTGAAACCTCTCATCACCTTCTGGATAAGAACAACCTTATCTGTGAGTATTTTCTGTCGTTCCAACTCCAATATTGTATCATGATAATCCTGTTAAAAGAAAATATTGATATACAGCTGAACAAACATCCCCACAACTCCTGAAAACTGGACACAAGTTCTGAAAGAGGTGCAGAATCGGTGTGGCAAGGTGGGATTCAAATGTGCAATCTGCAGTAGAAAGAGTGTGCACCACCCAGTGTCTGGCAGTAGCAATGAACAAGCACAAAATTTGCCTAAATAAGGGATGTTTTTTACCTTGCTTAGGGCAAGAAATTTCCCTGTGACAGCATGCTGGTATGCAGTTATTTTTTATGCTCTGGACTTGAGCAGAGTCCAATGCATCACACTCTGCTATTTGAGCTATACCACTGCAGAATGGGAAAAGCCCCTTCATACACCAAGCTTGTGTCCATCAAATTGCATTGTCTTCAAGGACACAGATCCAGTCTGAGTTTCAAGAGAGACCTCAGAGAACCCAGTCCTTCTAGGTCACCACTCTTGTGCTGACAGGTCAAGCTTTATGGTGAAGTGCCCAGTTCTTCAGAGAAGAGACAAACTGTTCTTTTTACTTACTTTAAGGAACATTTTTGTCTTTCCAGCCTGCCAGCTTTCATCTTTGCCCAGCACTGCTTCGGAGATTCTGACACAGCACTGTCGAGCATCATTCTTCACCTGATGTGCAAAAGCATCATTATGTTAGGGCTTGTTTGGAAACAGCGTGGCTGTACTATGTAGGGAACCTATGGTCCTGCATTTCAAAGAGCAAAGAATGCAAACAGATGAGGTCTGACAGACCTCTGGGCCAACAGGATAATAAATGAAAGCTCAAATGGTCAAGAAAAGGAGGAATATCAGTGCTTGGTGAAGCATTCCAGAGTTAAAATGACAGGAAATTGTCAATTCTGACTATGTCAGAAGTGTGTGATTGCAGGAAAACAAACAACTTGAAGGCAGTAGTAATGCCACCCTGCCTGGAGTGTCTATGTGGAGCAAGTCCAGGGTAGCTGGACCTAACTGCACTCTACTTCTGGCTGAGGTCCAAGTGAGGTTCTCAGTATTTAGCTACCATTCCAGCGATGACAGCTCTCTCTGTTATGCCAGCAGTAATCTAAGAACTTTCTCCAATGGGAAAGACCTAACACCTCATAAGGAAGAGTTAGATTTGCTTAAAGCAAAGCACGTGCTAACACACCGCTTCTAGAGCAGAGCGCGGCAGGAGGACTCTGTATCTCTCAAAGAACTCCTCGAAGGTGTAACGAACTGGGTAGCCAGCTTTCCTGATCCGGATGGTCTCCATCATCCCTGAGTATCGCAGCTGTTTGATACACAGCTCCCGGTCAAACAGCTGTAAAAGAGAGCAGACAAGGAGTTAGTGCAGAAAGAGGCTGCACATGCAACGTTCCTCAGGACGCATCTCTTATCCTGAGAACTCAGAGAGCTGCAAAACGGGCTGCTATGCTCTTCTTAATTGTGCTCTTGTTTCAGCGTCCCAGATTAATTAGCTATGGGCATAAACATGCCACTTTAAAGAGTCTTCACGTGTGTTTGGTGGCAGAAAAAAATCTATTAAGTTCTGACTGGCTTTAGCAACCGTCTGCAATTCTATAAATGTAATTTCAGGTGAATGATCATATTGTTTTGCAGGTGCAAGAAACTGCAACAGAAACTTACCTCCTTTGGGCTTAGCACAGCATGACTGCTGTAAGTTTCTTGTAATGTAGATTAAAAATAGGCTCACTAATCCACATGCACAACTTCAAAAATGATTAAGTCACTCAACCAACAACAAACAACTGGGTTTTGATCCCCCAAGACCCAGCCAAACATTTTAATGACAAACTTGAGCTTCTTCTGTGGTGTCAAATTCAGCTGTATCATCCTTCTCACCCACAGCTTTCTTCATCTCTCTCAAGCTATTTCATGGTATAGTCATTGCTGGATCTCAGTTTCTATTTGTCCCCTTGCTGGGGGCTGGAAACTCTCCGGGTCTTTGGTTACAAGAACGGCTTCTACAGCAGCTCCCAGTGCTCTTTTGGCCACCCATCACTCTAGGATGGATTTACAGGTGATTTTATAAATGAACCTTGCTATATCATACTGCCCTTTTCATTGCAGTAATACCTCGTCCTGCAGTTCTTGTCTGAAGTACAGATAGAAAATCCTACACCGCAACTGACAGCTTTTTCTCATCAAAAAGTTTAAGGAAAACAAGACCTTATGTTGTTAAATCATTACCAGTGGTTTCTTGTAGTCGTTGGGTTTGATGCAGCGGATGAAGTATGGCTGGCACTGAGCAAGAATTTTCATTAGCTTTTCCAGGGACTGCTTGAACTGTCCTCCCAGAGTAGAGAGCCGTTTGGTGGTATCCAGGCCCTGGGAAGAGTAAGCACATGCTGTCTGCTACACTGTTCATCACCAGAGGGCCAGTTAATAAAGCTTCCTATTTCTGTCCTAGGTAATGGTACCACACAACAGCCAGGAAATGTTATTTACCTACAAGGGAGCTAAATCTGCCATCTGCGTCTTACAACCTCAGTGATAGCCCAGCGCTACTTGGGCATAAGTTCTAGCAGTAGGGCTGACTGTGGAGGAAAAAATTCAACCCACAGGAGCCCATATAGGCCTGTCTCTTCTAACCAAAACTGTGCCTTGTGTAGGGCTTGGGTGCCAAGCTATTATTCACAGATGCATGCCTGAAAGTTTGGCAGGAAACTGCCACTCCCAAAAATAGCCTCTCGAGCAGGCAGGCAGTTTGCTGCCAGCTCATAGCTAGCTAGCACTGCTAAGGATTCACAACAGCTCTTTCTTTAACCTTTAGGGTGGTTTCCCTGCTCATTGACACTACAGTAAGTAGTGAAAGGCAAACTTCTACTGGAGGATAATGTAAAAGCTGCTTTATTTTTGCCTGCAGATGCAATGCTTTATGTCTCACAGCTTCTGAGCTGAATTCTGCCCCAGCTGCACTAGCATAAGCCCAGAAGGATTGCACTTGGCTGCAATTATCTCCTGACTTCCCCAGCTTCCCTGCAAGCACAGTTCCACCTTTGTCCTCTTCCAAACATTATCACAACAGGCCTTAACTGCTCCTTCTGTCTTTAAGGGTGTATTAAATTACAGTGAGAGCAGTGCAGATTCCAAGTAACAAAAAGAATCCACTGGCTTTTTTCCGACAGTCTTCCTGTGAGCTTGGAGTCATTACAGCACAATACAACTTTTTGTTTTGTTTTAGCTCAGGTTGTCAGGGGTTTTTTTCCCCGCTTGTTTGTTTGTTTTTCCCACTCCAGATAAATTTAAATCCCAGTGGCTCTCGTTACTTTAATGATCTTTACAGTCCCTCATTCTGCTGGTTCTTACATTTAAAGTGCCCTTTTCAACGCCTGAGCTGCCACCTTCTGCTCTCAGCTGTGTGCCAATGCTGCCCTCCAGCGACCAAACACTCATGCCTTGCAAAGTAGCTCCTGGGAATAGCAGCTGTGATGCTTTTTAGGCCTAGCAAACATCTGTTTGAAGTAGATACAATAACATCATATGGGTGTTTAAACTGCATTAGTGCCAAAAGCAGTTTGCACTCCCAGACCTCAGGGGCTTTTCTGCTGTACCACTAAATCAATGGGATGGTCTCAGAAGGCTGAAGCCCGGCCCTCCCAGCCTCACTGCCTGCCTCTAGAAATGACACTGTTAGGTGGCACTTGTTGCTGGGGTGGTGGTGACTTTTTGTGGATGGTATCCACATTTAGTAACTCTTTTCTTTTCACGCTGCTCTACTTTCTAAATGTTCTCCTAAGGAAACTTTTTTTCCCCCAATAACACAACCTTATTTAAAGAGAAAAACCCATCAGACCAAAATAGATAGGCCTGATATTTAATCTTAAGTTACTCATGATGTTTAATAGATGCTAAGCCATCTCTGTGTTGTATCTGGTACTACTTCTTTTTTCTCCCACAGATCTTTTACCTGTCCATAGCCAGATGTTCTGGACAGCAGAAAGCCACATTGGGCTAGAGACTGAGGAAGAGAGAACAGGATCAGAAAAAAATGCCAGGAGAACAGGGAGATAACAGGTGAGTCAACAAGTTAACTGTTCACCCTCTACTCTGAGAAGGAAGCAGAGAGATATAAAAACTAAGAGCAAAAGTACCTTCACCCAATAGTGATGCTGCATGGTTAAGGGCTCACAATTAAAGATAAGTGAGAACTGCAGCAAGGCAGAGAGCCTGAACTCCGGCCCACAGCATTTCCAGACCACTGCACTTCAGTGGGGCTCCTGACGCCTCCAGGCACTGATGTTTCTGTGACAATTAACCACCAGCAACTTTGTCACAAAGGCTCTGAGTGTGGAGGGAGAGCTAACACTGCAGCAATGTGCAAGTTGTGAGACTGTCTATGGGAGATGGAGTGGCCTTCTGTGACAGCACAGCTGTTTGCTCTTTGTGCTAGCCAGCCACTCTGCAAGAAGGGAAAGGCCAGGACTCTCCTAACTTTTCCTCCAGAATCCTTTGAAGAAATGAAAGGGGAAGGCATGTGCAGAAACAGTACAATAGAAAGTGAAGGTCAAGAACAGGCAGAGCATTATAGTAGGGAAATTAACTGGTTCTGCATCACAGTGTCAGTAAGCCAACCTTGTAGGCCTGGTCAGTTCCAAAATGCCGGATAGTCCCACGTCCCAGACTAGTTGGGTTTGTTTCCACCTGGAAAATCTCCTTCAGGAATTTATTTTTGGAGGAATGAACCACTTGCATTACATTAGCACTCAGTGTGTCCCTGTTTTTCTCTAAGAAATCTATAGGATGGAAAAAAAAAGAAGAAAGAACAGCTTGTCATCTCTGCAGCCTGCTGGCTGTAATGCAACTCTGCCAAGCTAAAATCCACATCATCTACAGTAACTTGATGATTAGTTTACAGTAATCCTCTTGACCTCCTGACTTCAGCAAAATAAACCTGAATGTTTTAAACTCTTATCTTGAGAAATTACACTACTCTGGAGTGCCATAAAGCCATGGCAAATGATGTTCTTCTCTTCACCTTCCACACCCAGCCAAGAAAGGCTCACCTTTTGATTCATAAAAGACAGCCCCAGCAAAGTGGTTAATGCCAAACTTGGTGTCATGGTCACTCTTAGGTGGGATGTAGACTCTGCTTTTTCCATGGAGGGAATTGATTTTGATAAGCATGGTGGCATCTGTGCCCTAGAAACAAATACAGAAAAGGACAGTTAAGTAGATTCTCTATTACAATATAAGACTGCCCAGCAAACTAACGCATAAGATGCTTCAAGATAACAAAGGCTTAAATTCTGCCCCTTGTTTGTGAAGTAACCAGGTAGGAACACAGGGCCTGCTTTCATTGCCCTGCTGGTACAAGACTCCGAGATCCCCAGAAGGCAGCCCAAAGCAGATACCCAGCATGGACTGTGACTCCTACAGGCCAGCAACCAGCTGGTGCCATCACATCCTCATCCCCGTGGGATGCATGTGAGGGTAGTTCTGCTCACTTGCCCATCGTAGGGTAGTGCTGTGCTATCTGAGAAGCCATGTACCCTGGGAATCATGGAAGAGACTTTTCTCCTGATCACAGGACATACAGTTGAGACCACCCTCTTCTCAGGAAAGAAAGGAGAAAGCTCTCTGTTTGTACACAAGCCTCTTAAATTGCTGCCTGAGGACTACAGGTGAGCTGAGGCAGAAGCTTGCTTTCCTGGATAAGCTGGTGCTGCCATCTGATTCCTGTACTGACAGCCCTGCTTACCCTTGTCATGGAAATGTGCAGACCATGGAAATATACAGCAGTTATGTTTGAGATCAGATGCTACTTTTTCTGTTCTTCTGTTGGAGATGCCTGCCCTTTGTAGAATGACATTTTTTTCACGATTGCAGAGCTCAACTGTGACTGTCATCCAAGAGAAGAAAGAGGAAGGTGCAGCCCAGACCAACAGCAAAACAGTACTCAATATGCAAATCCATACATTTCCTAAAAAGCCACTTCAATTATCGAGTCTCCTTCCTTCTCCATCTGGTACAACTGGAAGAGTTTTAAGGCAGCGAGGTAATAGGAACAGCACACTCTGGCAGTGAAAGTATTCATATAGCAAATTAAAAGGGGTATTGACTCTCACAATGTCTCTGAAAGCCTCCTCTGCACTTTTCTGTGTGTAAAGCATTGTTGATGTGCTGTGTTCAAAGTCAAATATTGCAGATGAAACCAGAAAGTTACCTTTGGGAACTTGCTCTCCTCATCAATGAGGGAGATAATATTCATGGGCTTGAGTGCAATGACTTCCAGAGCCTGGCGATTGTCAGTGAAGTCAATGTTATTCCAGGTAATGTGCTCTGCAAGGTATTCCTCTTGCTCCAGCTTGAAGACATGGTGCACAAAGAACTGCTGAAGGTGTTCATTTGCAATGTTAATGCAGAGCTGCTCAAAGCTGTAAGGGGACAAGATGGGAATCCATGGTCATTCCTGGACCTTGGCCAGTGCTGCACTGCTCTATGGCATTTGTTTATTGTCCATATTTAATACTTTTCCAGATAAACTACTGTTATACTCCATGTTAATGATCACCACCACTGTGTGTTGTCTTAGGAACATGAGAGATGCATTTTCTGCTCTAATAAAGATGAGCAAAAAGAGCCAACTGTTGACTTAGTGTTGCTGCTTAAGCAAGGGATGAACTGTTTCAAGGAACTCTAGAGAGAAAGGGGAACACACAACTGTGAAAATAGCATGTCTGGGTGAGTGTATAATCTGTTTTTACTTGCAATGGCATTACCACTTCTTTTATCAGTTAATCCTTAAAACTGCATGTGAGTTTCATTACCTGGTAATTGCTGTGGCACAATGTGTGCCAGTGAGGCCCCATGTGGACTGCAGCCTTTGGGGATAGCATAAAGTAATAGGAAAGAACATTAAAAATGTAGGATGGTCTGAGCAGATTATGTTCTAAAAGTCAGTGAGGAATATTATCTTGCTGAATGCAAGCAAGGTGCATCTGTTGCAATGGATTGGAAAAGGTTGCCATGCAGAATTTAGAAAGAATGAAAAAAGTGGAACATTTTATTGATTTATCAAGGAGGAGTTGACAAAGGTGGAGGGAAATGGAGTGACACGAATTACACTGTTTGTCGCAGTCGTTTACTACATGCTTCACTGACTGTAGCACACCAGCCTCAACACTGCTCACATGTTGATGGTGCCCCATGATGGAGAAAGTTTCCCTACTCTGATCCCAAAGGCTTGTAGACTGCAGACCATGTGTGATGGTTTGTGGAGTACTGATGATATGGTACCATAAAACAGAGAACTGCTGCCTCTGTAGAGAAGGGCATATAGAAATGGTGCTCTGGGACTGAAAACATCAGTACAAGAGGTAACAGTGGTATGCAGACCAGGTGTTTTGCTGACCTGTCCTTAAAAGCAGAGAAATTAAGTAGTTCCCAAAGAGTGATGGGGGAACACTGAGCAAAACAGAAGCATAGCTGAAATGAGAATCAAAACACAGTCTCCTTTATGCTATGTACAGAAGCATCCCAAGAGGTCTTGTTAAAATGCTATGGAGCAAGGGGAACATGTATCTGCTCTTTGTGGCTGCTGGCTCATAGCAACTTCATAGACATCTTCCCTGAGCAAATTCCTGGGGTTCTGGAATAGACATGTGCAATGGCTGCACCGCAGTGAAAGCTGAAGGAGAAAGCAGAAATGTGACCAAGGCTAAAGAAGAACGGTATTTGTCAGTGGGGAAACTTAGTGATGGAAATTTCACTGCTTTTCTGGGCATGACAATAATAATGAAAGGAAATTTGCTTGTTTTCTTTTTTTTTTTTTTTTTCCATTTTTTCAATTTACATCAACTGCTTTTCAGCACCCCAGTGCAAATGAATCCAGAGCCTCTTACCTGTTGTTGCTAAAGTTTTCGAACCCAAAAATATCCAACAATCCAATGGAGTGACGTGTATTTTTAGGCTTCTGAGAAGTTGGGTTAAAAATGGCTGAGTTGATCTTGTTCACTATCCAGAGGAAAATCCGTCCATATATACCCTGGGGAGAAATTAAAGTGAGAGCTCATCATTACAGTCTTTGGACAAATCTCTCTGCTCCCTGTTGTGTTGAAACAATGATGTCAAATTATGCCTGAAGACCAAGAGGGAACCAGGCCATCTGGATGCACATTTATCACAAAAGGCACTTTAACTGATAAGACAGACAGCTCTGAAAGCATCCCCAGACTTCAAATAGAGCAGATGTAAGAACCAGTACCTTCACAAAGGCGTCCCTCCCATCTGCAGCTTGGGCCACGTTCAAGGGCCTGGACACACTTTCTCCTCGGACAATGATGGAGAGGTTTGTGAGGCTGTTCTGAAGTTCACTGTAGTCCACCTGGAAGAACAGTCATGGCAACTTGGTCATCCCAGGTAGAGAAAAGAGATCCAGCAAAGAAAGTCTGCCTCAGGAAGGAGGGCTGTGACAAACTGCTTGTAGAGCAGCACTCAAGAGAGCATTCTGCTGCCCAAGACTGAAGGATCTCCTGGCTCAGAAAGATATCTGCAATAGCAGCACTTGAGTATCAGCAGAAAGAACAGGAAATGCCCCTTCTATGTGCTTCACTACATAAATGCTCCACAGAGACGTGCTTTGTCAGTGTGCTCAGGGAGCATGGATGAAGAAAGGAACAAGTAGGAAAAGATAAGAGATTTACTACCTCAAGCAGTTTGGTTGCAATTGAAAAGTGTGGTGAATCCATCACATCAGAGCAGTCCAAGTTGTCATACACAGCCGCTGGAATAAGAAATCATTTTCATGGTGAAACATTTCTGTTGTGGCTGGGAGCTGTGCAGCCATATTTCTGTAAGCTTGTATCTCCAGGAATGTGGCAAAGTAGTAATTTGCCTGATGAAGCTCCTGCGTTTGAAGATTTTACTAAGGAAGGTTCTAATTTTACCTAGGGATCCTGGCACATACAGAGGGATCCTGGCACATACAGGGTCCTCACAACTCCAGAACATTGTTTTAATTGCTTTATTTTAACTACAAATAGCAGCAAAGCTGACAGGATTATGAATTATAAACTAGCTACTGGGGATCTGGAGTTTTATCTGACTTCAGATTTTTTTCTGAAAACATTTCTTGTCTTGTATCTAGCTGGTGGGAAACATAGACAAAAAAGGTTGCCTAGATAACAATCTTCCTTCATATAGGAGATACTTCATTTTAGCAGCCAGCATTACCCCAAAAAACCCACCTGGCACCACTGCATCACACAGAGAAGAGCTCTCTTCTAAAATATGAGAGCTCCTGCTGTCATACTGATGGGTGTTATCAGACTGTCTTTGCCTTATCAGAGCTGCATTTACGCAGCTGAGTGTTCACAGTACCCAGCAGGTCAATGACAGCTATCATCTCCACAGAAAGCATGGCTCAGTTGCTCCCCTGTCCTCTGACTTACATAGCACTACAGTCAGTAAATGTAGCATGGCATTATATTATCTGGTGATTCAGGCTGTGTGATAAGGGTCTATTTATAACCAAGGAAATCCCAGTGTGACAAAATAATAAGATGGGTGTTTTTCAAAACATTACTCAGTGTGGAATGGTGCTTATCTGCCTGCCCCAACCCTGTTCACCTAACCATTTATACTGGGCAGAGAAGCCCAACCTAATCCTTACAGCTGGAAGCAGAAGCACCTGTAGGCCTTTAACATCAACTCTGAGGAGAGACCAAGCAGAGGCAGTGCTGAGTTTACCTTCAAACTCCACATTCCCCAGATGCAGGATGGCAGCCAGCAGTTTGCTGATGTCCCAGTGCTCAGAGTCTGAGAACATGAGGATCTTCATTGCCGAGCGGATGTGAGCGTACTCCTTGGCATCATTCCGGCTGTCACAGGATGTGCAGTTGCCCTGCAAGAAACCACATTCACAGGTGAAGAGGATCTTTTCTGCTTTCTCTTCAGATCACATAAACTCAGACATAAGGACAAGGATTCTTGGCACTGTTTCTGCTTACTCGTTATCACCTAAGGTATACATACCTAATTAGCTTTCTCCCTGGCATGAGATCCCTTGCATTCGCCTAAAATCTGAGCACCTGTGAAAGTGGAGGATATTTCCCATGTGCTTTATGATGCCCTTTATGTTTCTTAAGGCTGAGTTGTACAGAAAGCTTTGAACTGCCACATGCTGCCCCTGCAGTGGACAGATGGACATTACAGTAAGCCTCTGAAACTGAGACTCACAGCACCTGTGTTACTGCTTCTGGTACTCTAAGGAAAGGACTGTTGGTACTTGTACTTGGTACCACCCATCTGCAGCTCCTAGTGATGGTACTGGTTGCTGGAGGAAACAAATGACAGAGGGATAATGGAGATAGTTACCATAGTGAGATAAGTGTACTCTGAGGCAGTGCCCAGATTCAGCATCTTTTTCTGCTCCAGATTCATCCCCATCAGCATGCAATAGAAGATGTGATAGTTCCTCTCCTCTGGAGCCTAGAAAGAAAGAGGCCAATATAGGCTTGTTGGTACAGGTTTCTAGCATAGGAGCAGGCAGAATGGGTGTCTGCAAGTGCCCTCACCTGCCGGCAAACTCGGGACTTTTCCAGAAGAAACTGTTCTATCCGGGCTCCTTCTATCACACCGCTGTGGTTGAAGTAGATATCAATGTATTTACCAAAGCGGCTTGAATTGTCGTTTCGAATTGTCTTGGCATTTCCAAAAGCTGACGGGAAAAGGACAGACAGGATCTTGATTACTGCAGTTAATGAACATCAAGTCTATTTTTGATGTGCTTCCATTTTTCTCTTGGTATTTTGCATGTTGTATACCAAATGCTGACATGCACTAAAGAATATCTGAACTGACTTCCTTCTGAAGTGACAGGCAGGCATCCAGATAGCTGGGCCCTAAAAGACATACTCAGGTGGTCCAAATATGCTCTATGTCTCTTATGACTCTTGTGCTCCCTGCAGTTCTGAGATACTGCTACAATGACACCTTCTCCTGCATCATAAGAACTCCTCTGGACCTTGTGAAGACCCAGCAAAAAAGACTAGAGAACTTCTACCCTGCATCACCAATGCTTCAGGGTTTTTAGCTATGTTATGCAAATGCAGTTGTTTGAGGATCTGTTCCTGAATTTTTACCCTGAGACAAAAATATTGTGATAAGTGTGGTAAATGGTTTTTTTTCTGCTAAATAACCCACCTTCCAGAATGGGGTTGGCCTCTAGGATTTGCTGCTCTATCCAGGAATGCTGGCCGCTGATAGCTGCCAAAAACTGTAGTATTAGCTTAGTGCTTTCAGTTTTCCCAGCTCCAGATTCTCCACTGCAATAAGAAATGAGATCATTAAGGGTTTGCTTTCTTCCGTTTTTTGGCTAGGGAGGCAAATGATAGACCAAGGTGAAATCCTACTTTATGCTGTGAAGATCAGGTTGTCTTTCATTTATGGCTGTACAATTCTAGCTGTTCAACCTCTTATCTAAAAGATATTGTGCTAAAGTGTACAGTGT